GTTGGAGGGGGGGAGGGCTGGGGTGGGGGGAGGGAAGGGAAAGGGCAAATATCTGTAAAATTTATTAAAACTTTTCAATATAAAAAAAGTTAAAAAGTTTTCTCCCTTCCCCAAACAACCAGTCACGTGGTCCAATCATGGTGTCGTCCAGTTGCCTGGTAACTTCGCTCCTCCTCTCTCCGGCCACCTGTGGGAATGACCTTGGTTCCCAGGGGAAACTATTTTGCTTTGGCTACAAACCCAAACTATCTCTATTTCACACACACCCTCCCTATCCCCCAGCTCCAGGGTGGCAACACTGAAGCCTCTACGATGGCCTCCTCAGTCAGGCTAACACCTGGTGTTAAGTTTCCTAACAATGCCGTAACTGATTCATAATAGTGGAGCCAATGTTTTAATGCAAAACCCAGTGATTTATTGATGGCTTCATTCGGGAAGATTTGTTCGCAGCCAAATCTTTGCCCTGTTTATCTGCCTCTGAACGTTACCCCTGTTCCTTTCCTCCCCTCAGTCTGTGTCACAAATCACGTTAACCAATAGATACACCCATCTCAAACCAGCTACTGTAAATCTGAGATCCGACTCCGCCGACAAAACGCGTGGAATGCACTCCCACTCATTCTGTCCCTATGACAACACAGAGAGTTGACACCCGGTATGCCAGGCGCGTCCGCTGTGCAGGCCAAACATGGATAGAAAGCCGACCAGGTGATGCCTTGGGAAGGGGCTTTGAATGCCCTCCTCGTCCCCCCTTTGGAGGTCTGGGAATTACAGGGGAGAAACATTGAACATGAAAAGAGGGAAGAACACCTCTGGGATTGTCACAAAGACGAGGGCCAAGGATCAGCTGACCCTGGACAGGAGCCACAGCTGCACCATCCATCTCCCTTCCTCCGCAGGAGCGCCGTAGAAAGCAGCAGTTGAATATACTTCAGAAGGAGAAAGAAACGGCAGAGAAGATCGCCGCTCGAGCTTTCGCCCAACGCTACCTCTCTGATCTCATCCCGTCCGTCTTTGGCAGCCTACGGGACAGCGGATACTTCTACGATCCGGTGGAAAGAGGTGCTGGGGGGGGAGGGGCGTGTGGGGGGGGCACATGGGTTTCCCTGCTCAGTGTTGGGAATTACCAGCCTGATGGTAGAATCGGAAAAGACCCCGCTTGAGGTCTTTTGTGTTTTGATATCCTGATTTAATCCTCAATGGTTAGCGCAGGCAGAGGGACCAGTCAGTTTCAACCTTTTCCTGTTGCAGAATTCAACATTTTCTCATTTGTCCACATGTACATTTGGTTCATCCCAATTCCTATAAGTGGGTTTTTTTAAAGGCTTGCACTAAGAGTGTCTACAGGGTGGGGGGGATTAAAAAAAAGTTTGTGGGGGGGTCTCTAACAATGCGTTGAGTTCTTAAGCCCATAGCACTTATAAGCAGCATCCTGAATAATGGGAAATGAGCTTCCTATAAACTTCTCCATTGCCCTGCCCACTCTCTGTAGGGACTTTCTATCTGAGGTCCTACAGGGATGCAGTTTGTTAAAATGCTCTCGATCGTGGCTCTGTGGGTAGGACTGAAAGAGAAAGATATGCTTTCCTCATCCCACACAGGAAATGCAGATGTTATTCTGTAGACTCCTTATGTGACAATTGGTGAATGGGAGGGGGATAGATGTCACATGATTCATGACATCACTATAGAAATTACATCATAACATGGATGACATCATCTCAGCTACTGCTGGTGGGTTTTGACCCAGGGTTGAGCTCCTTGGTGGCCTGAATAGCTCCCTGTAGGTCAACAGAGGGTACCCCGCCACCCTTGACCAGGGGTCAGCAACCCACGGCTCTGGAGCTGCATGTGGCTCTTTCATCCCTCTGCTGCAGCTCCCTGTCACCAGTTGGTGCCACAATTTTGAGAGGAGCTTCCGGTGGGGGGTGGGGAGAAGCAGAACGCTCCAGGAGAAGACTCTATGGCAACGGTCAGGTTTTCCGGTCGGCTCCACAATCGCTAGGGCTTTCGGTTGCGACAGGTAGAGGAAAAAGGGCATCGCGCTAAGAGGAGACTCTATGGTGGGGGAACCGGACTTCCAGTCAGCTCCAGAATTGAACGGGTGTCAGGGTTCCAACTAGCATCCACAATTAAATCAGAGTCCAAGGCAAAGGATTCCTCAAAGTTCCAATTGATGAAGAGAGCCATGTTGGCACATCTGGGAAAAACCCAAATCCGAAAGCTTCTGGGTTTCCCCCACCCAGTTGAAAGTTCAAGACCTTCCCCCCAACACCCACAAGTCCATCCCATAATCCAATCTCCCACTATTACAAAGACAGCTTCCACCCATCCAGTCCCGGTCAGGTGCAGAGTTACAAAGACACAGGATGACCTTGGCTTTCTAGAAAGAATTTTGTTATGGCTACATGGCATCTAACTCCTACAATCCCCACCTCCCATGTCCCCACCATAGAAAAGGCCTAGTGGAATAATAGAAAGTGTGGCAGGCCAAAAACCCAGAAGAAAAGATGGCTTCAGGGGTGGGGGGACCTTCCGGTTAGGACCTTTGTGGCTCCCGGTGTTTTCTTAAACCATAGCGGCCAGGGACGATGGGCCTTGTGCTCCATCCCTTGGCAAATGGAGACCTTGCAATGGTGACACCTTCTCTTTTAACTCCCCAGACATCGAGACGGGCTTCATCCCGTGGATCATGGATAAGATGGAAGTCCTGCTGGAGAGAAGGGCCCTCGGCCGAATCATTGCTGATAGTAAGTCCCCCACCAATCCCTTGTTGTCCAAAGGAAACAAGGGCCCTCCCCCCTCAGCTGGCCCTCTCCTCCCCTGACTCAGCAATCGCCTTGTAAATGCCGAGTAGGGCTGGGCTCTCTTGGAAGGAGAATCTCTTGGGTTGAAGGCTGAACTAATGCAATTAAATCACAATGCAGGTAGTATAGAAGGCAGTGTTTCTCAACCTTGGCCACTTGAAGATGTCCGGACTTCAACTCCCAGAATTCCCAGGCCAGCATTCTGGCGAATGCTGTCTGGGGAATTCTGGGAGTTGAAGTCCGGACATCTTCAAGTGGCCAAGGTTGAGAAACACTGCTATAGAGCACCGTGAAGCGGTATATAAGTGTAGTTCTAGTGTTTCGGAAGGGAGGGAGGGAGGAATGACAGAAGGGAGGGAGGGAGG